AAACGGTGTTGCCGCGATATCTCAAGAACTAAACACTGGATTGTCTTCATATTTGGAACTATGGTGTATATACAGACTCCGCAGACACCAGTCGGTTTTGGTGACCTTGATCCCATTTTCAAGGTCACAGCAGACAAATCTGCTTTTAGAGTTGGAAAACGGTGTTGCCGCGATATCTCAAGAACTAAACACTGGATTGTCTTCATATTTGGAACTATGGTGTATATACAGACTCCGCAGACACCAGTCGGTTTTGGTGACCTTGATCCCATTTTCAAGGTCACAGCAGACAAATCTGCTTTTAGAGTTGGAAAACGGTGTTGCCGCGATATCTCAAGAACTAAACACTGGATTGTCTTCATATTTGGAACTATGGTGTATATACAGACTCCGCAGACACCAGTCGGTTTTGGTGACCTTGATCCCATTTTCAAGGTCACAGCAGGCAAATCTGCTTTTGGAGTTGGAAAACGGTGTTGCCGCGATATCTCAAGAACTAATCGCTGGATTGTCTTCATATTTGGAACTATAGTGTATATACAGACACCGCATACACCTGTCAGATTTGGTGACCTTGACCCCATTTTCAAGGTCACAGCAGGCAAATCTGTTTTTGGAGTTGGAAAACGGTGTTGCCACAATATCTCAAGAACTAATCGCTGGATTGTCTTCATATTTGGTACTATGGTGTACAGGCGGGGGATATTTCGTCACTCTGTGACAAATACTTGTATTGTTTCCTTTACCCTTTGTCGTGTTTTCATTGCACAAAACATATTTAATTGTTTTAAAAACATCCTTAATATTCTAAATTGTCCTTCTTGCGATTACAGACCAATCACAATATTATGTTGTTAAAATAATGTCCTATCAATATGTTATTTTGCTGGCGTTGTTTTCAGAAGATAATTTTAAAATCATCGAGTGTTGAATCCTTTACGGTTTCGGGGTTAGGCTTACAAATTTGATGAAATGATGAAAACATGAAAACAAATATGAAACAAAGAGGAGTGAAGACTGCTACCCAGGGCAATAAATAGTAAACAGGTGACAATAAATAGTAAATTATGTAATTCTTTTTGAATTTGAATCTATTTTGGAATTTTCTTGATGATAGCGTACCAACTTTTGCATATTTTGCCTCGATATGTGATATGTAGGACATGCTTCCCGTTTGAGAAATGATAGATAAAATTACAAGTATTTTGATTATTTTTCGTACTCTGCATTATTTTGCTATTGAATGGTTTACCTAGAATGTATATCAGTTCAGATTTTGCGTATCATCAAATATTTTTCAATAATCGCAGTGTTTGTTGACTTTCCAATCAATGATGTTACTATTCAGACCATCCAATTGTTGACCATCCAGTCAATGATGTTACTATTCAGATTGTTTTAGTTTACAATTAATTAGACTGAAAGTTTGCTAATTTTTGGAAATTAAGGAACTTCAGTGTTAAGTCAGCTAACAAAATTTTTTATGATCGAATGAAAAAAAGGATAACATTATGAATAAAATATGAAAATAAGAAAATATGCAGCTCACAGGAAGTGCCCAAAGTCAACAATGGTCATCATTTATGCATGCTATTCGCCTGTGGAATGGGTTTCGACTTTAGATGCACGGCTACTGACACACTCTGTCTAATGGGTTCGACTATACCATTGAGTTCTTTAAACAGTTATTTTGATTTTCATTTGGGGGTGTACTTTGTACCGCCTGTCTAGTTGGTATGACAGTATCATTGAAAACATTAATAGGTTGCGCTTGTGCATGTTTTATATTGCTAAATCGAGCCCAGTCTTTGTTTATGTCCTGTCGTGCCATGCCCTTTTATTGCAGGACTTGATCACAGCTCACTAATCACTATTCACAATTTATCACCCTGCCAAGTTAAATTCTCAAAATCATACAGTTCTCAGTCTATAACTGGATGTTATGTCTTCCAGGGAATCCTTCATACACATTTGAGGGCACTGTGTTCAGCTGCGTTCTTTGGTCGCCCCACAGACCTATAATTCTAACCTATAATCCATACTTACTGCAGGGTTAGCAACTAACAGTTTTCGTCCACTAGTCCTTATAATGATAACATATAGCAAAACCCTTAAAAATGGCAAATTTCTACTAGTCCTTATGATACCTTTACCATTGGGCAGTTTGGCAAGGACTATAGGACTGGTGCCAATTTCTAATGCTGCTTACTGCTGTTGAAAATGACGTTTATGGAGCAGTTATGAAAAACACCCTGACGCTTGAACCCTCTCATGGCACTAGCAAATTGGGAATATCACTGATTTATGAATGTGTTGCTTGTGTTTGGATAATCGCAAACCAATTAGGACGATGCGGAATGGACTGGTGGGGATTGAACCGAGTGCTTTGAAACTTGTGTGTTTTGTGTTAATTTTCAACGTCAGGGTGTGTTAGATTTGGACTTTGGGATTTGTCGCATGTGCTGTAATACTTTGCTTAGCTGGTGTTTCTTGTCACCTGAGATGGACCTACTGTATGACCTGATGCCAGCTTCATTACTGTGCCCCGTCACTCCTCATGTGCCGCCGCTTCTCAGCCTAGAATGCACGGAGAAGGTCGGCCAACTCAGAAACCGGAATAGTAGATTTCTAATTCTGTCTATGGATATTTTCTCGTCTCCAATGACCAATCGCTAAAAGAGGTTGGCAAGTTTTTGGGTTTTTAAATTTAACTTTCTTTCCTTACCTTTTTGTTTTCTCAAAAAAATTTTCCCGATACGATAGAAAATCAGATTTTAGTTTGGGATTGATCAGGAGGACTCCATCAGGAGCAGTTGCATTTGCTCTGTACGTGTCAGCGGCCACATCTGAGCAGGGTACGAAAATTGTTTTCATTGGTGCTAGATTCCTGTCATTTCCGAAAACAAGGCATCAAAGTCGGTATTGCTCAATAAATCAATTACGTTCACCTCAGTAATTTTACAGAATTAATTTTCTTCACTTGCGTTATTAGTATTGAAAGGTAGCCATTCCATATCCAAATCACCGCAAGGACAATCCATTTTGTTTCATGTAGCAGTTACACGACATCAATCACCAGAACCAAAGCATTTATTATTTATTTATAAGTCAGATGAAATGTTACAAGACCAGGAAAAAATACTAAATTAATTGTATTGCTGATAAATGCAGGTATTAAAAAGAAAATAGAAAAAACAAGTTAATCGTAACCACCAATCGAGTATTCTGGGAAACCCCGGAAAGTAGTTCCGGCAAAGGTCACATGATCAATTTAAAAAAATATTGTTCACATCGTGTGAACTTTTTTTTGTCCGTTCACAGGTGTGTGAACTCCAAATATCAGATCACGTGACTACCCCTTCAGCCAATCAGCATGAAAGAAACTGTAAACTTCGAAGTATGAAATTATATGCCCAAAATTTTATGACCACCATTGAGACTTTAGTGAAGGTCATTCTTGTGTTGATGTCTAATTGCAAAGAGTGGATTTGCTCCTGGACCACAGAACTAAGGGTGTGTGGTATCACTGGTACAGCCGTATATTGTGGTGCAAATCTTCAGCAATATGTATTGCGATACGTTTGTAAATGTAGCAACACATTGGGGCAAATATATGTACCCCGGTAAGTATTTTCTGATACATCTTGCCTCTGACGGTCTTTTTGTCAATTAGTGTGTTACACATCACAACTATCAAGCTCCTCACTGTGATAGTTCGTTTGCGGAGCTGTCTATACAGAGAGTAGGACGAAGGTGTCAGGCACTGAGAAGGAGTTTGTGCTACCATGTGAACATATTTTCTCCAGTGATCGTTGCTGGGATACAACATGGCAGATTATTTCGACACCGTCCCAAATAAGCGAGCCAAGGATGATGTAAATGTAAATTGGCAATAGATATTGCCCCATGTATAGCAATACAGGTTAAATTATGGCAATATACTGTAAACCTTCAAATTAACGCGAGCGTGAATTAAATGCGAAAAATATGAGTGGTCTTTGCTTGCATTATTAAACATCACATTTATATCAACAATAAGACATTTGGATAACAGAAATACAAATTTAGACTTACGCTGCCAACAAACAACAATGTTACTTACTTAAATTGGGAATTTAATGTGCGCTTTCCGACATATGCCTATTTCGCCAGGCCATTTAGTGTTTGGTCGAAAAGGGTATGTCTGAAAAGGTGAGGCAACCAAGGGGGGGCTTTTAGGGTTGCTTACTTAATTTGGAGAACTATTTATTGAGCTGCACTTGTAACATTTACAAAAACAATGTCATTCAAACACTATTTACATCCTGTGTATTTTCACTGCTGGGGTCAAGAAAAGAGTTCTACTCACTTATGTCATCACTGATCACACCTGCAAGTCCAGACAGAAGCCACCCACGCAAAATGGTGTCTTTGTTCTTTGCGACTGCCTCAAAGGCTGACACGAGCCAGCGCGCATGCATTGTTTTAGCAGAAGTACTCTACTCAGCACTAATAAGCGGTTCTCTTTGGTGTGTGAGTGGATTAATGTAAGGTTGATCTTAGGTGAGGATTCTCCTGTAAACCTGACAGAGGACATTTTCTTTAGATAAATCCACTGATGCTTGAAAGTAGAGGGGTGTCGCATTCATACTGAGTCACATTTTTTTGCTAAGGCTCAGTGGTCGCATTCTTTTGGAGAAGCATTAATTTCATGATTTACAGTATTGCAATACAAAATCAAGGTCAATACACAGCCTTCCCAAAACAGTGTTGGAATTCGGAATAGACAGATGTAGGATTACAGTCTACCCTATATTGGGTATATTGACTTTTTTAATTTATGCATGCACAATGGCCTCTTGCAAGGTCAAATGATCAAATTATTTGCCCCCGTTCAGCATAAAGATCTGCTATTTTGTGGGTGATTTTTAGGGTGACCAGGCTTACACTGCATGGGTATACTTAAAAGTGATCAGTTTCTTGTACTGTATATCTTAGCTAGTGTTTCTTTCTTATTTCAGGAACTATCCGAACTTCTCAAGTACTTGATCGAGAGACCATCTCCCATTATTGGCTGACAGTATATGCCCAAGATGGAGGACTCGTACCAAAGTTTGCACGTCAGGAAGTTCTCATTAAGATTGTTGATGAAAATGATAATGTGCCCCTTAGCCGTCAGCCTTTATATCATGTCAGTGTGCCCGAGAACAGCAGGGAAGGAGTGGAGATAATGCAGGTCGAGGCATATGATGGAGACTTGAGTGACACACAAAAAATCACTTTCCAGATCACTGGAGGAGATCCTCAGCACTTCTTCAAAATACACAGCACACAAGGTCAGTCAATCAATCAGTCAAGCTTGTTTTGTGGTAACTCATTTGTTTTGAAGCAGCTCCATGGTTAGATATCTCAGGAATGTCATATCACATATTTCTTTGTAGCTCTGAGTAATTTTTATCCCTCCCCCGCCCCTCAGCGATCGGATGCCCGTCCCTAAGTTCATCAGCCGTCCGTTTTCCATTTTCAGAGCCGATCTCCAAGACAGTTAAATATCTCTTGTTGAAACTTTCTATACAGATCAGACTTGTGGGGAACTGGTGTCTTTTGATGATTTGGGATTTTATTCTTTTTATTTTGTTTTGATATAGATCAGTCTAGTGGTGAACTAGTGCCTTTTGATGATTTGGACTTTTTTAATTTCTGTACTGGTGCCCATTGATGATTTGGGATTTCCGATTGAATTTTTTTTTTTTTTATGTCTTCATCATGTTCATAACGACAAGTTGGACTTTACTAAAAATGAGAATAGTGCTCGTTTCCGGAGCAGAAGCCCCAAACCGTTGAATATTCTAGATGAAACTTGCTACACACAGGTCAGTCTACTGGTGCCTGTTGATTTTAGATTTTGAACAATACTGAACAGCATTATTTTCTTTTGAAGTTGTGCCTTTTGCTATTTACAGCTAGTGGCATTTCTATTTTCCTCTATTGGCATGGAACCAATTTGTAATTGGTCTCATAAGGTGGTGGATTTTGTTTCTGGAGCACAACTAAAAAAACATTCCATATATTTCACCAAAACTTGGTACATGTAGATATATCAAACTGATCCTGAAGTGGTGCCCTTTGCTATTTGCAGATATTTTGCATATTGTTTACTTATCCTTCATTATTCCTTGATGCATATTACTGCTTGTTCTTGACAGAGAAAAGATCAGTGTGAAGGTATTTGCTTGAAGAAGTTGCTCCAACTAGCTGAGAGGCCAACCCATCACGCAGCTCCCGCGTGACCAAGGGAAGTGACGTCACAGATCCTCACATTACTCTTGTCACTTGATGAGTGAAGACCTGTTTTTTGCTGTAGCATAAACTGATTCAAACCCTCACGTGTTTGCTATTTGAGTTAATGTTTTTGTCTTTGTGTTGTGCCTATGGTTTGTATTTTGTACATTCTATGTTTGATAAACATGTGCATAACTGGCGTTTTCTCAAAAGAAAACATAATGCCAGGTGTCTTGTTGTTCCAAGTGGCCATCTTGAATATTTTACGTGTCCAGCAGTTAATGAACTGGTTTGCGTTCTATATTCTTTTTGCTTAGTACCCCAGGATTGGCGTATCCTAGCAAGTATTGTTTGTTTTGTTGTATGTTGTCTTACGTTTGTTGTAATATTTGTTTCATGAACCCACACAGTGGGATAAACAAATTATAGCATACATAATTGTGCGGGGACGCATTGTGATTTTACACTTCTTCGTTGCAGACATCATGTCCTCCTGCTCAAAGTGCCAGCGTAATATGTCTGCGTGGGATCCCCACCCCCTGTGCCTTAATTGTACATCGCAATGCCTCCAGGGTCACCGATGTAAAGACTGTTTACTGCTTTTACCCACAGTTTTCAGTCAGTACCTCCGTGTGTGTAAAAAACGCAGATCACAGCAGGCCAGGAAACACCGGCGCATGATGTCAGACCTCTCCGATGATTGGCCATCTCGGATGACTACCCTCCGACCTCAACTGCTACCTTGATGTCGGACCCCGCGGTCGCAGTCTCCACCCAGAGCACTTTGATGACCACAACAACGTCTATCTTTACGGTGGCGGCCACCTTGATGCCCGGCGTGGCGCTCACGTACCCGACGGCGCCTATACTATCCTCCGGACAGACGCTGTGTCTCCCACAGGCAACCCCGTCTAAGCACAGACGCCCATGATAGACGCCTCTCTCCTCCAGTACATTCAGTACTTACAGGCCAGACAGCCGTTGACGCCAGTGCCTTTACAGATGCCTCTACAAGCGCCTCTACAAGCGCCTCTACAAGCGCCTCTGCAGACGCCCCCGCCTTTGTCTCTGCCGCGTTGGCTGACCTCACAGACGCCTTCTACCTCTCATCACTCGGCTTCCCCAAGTATGTCTTCACGTCGGAGTGACAGTAGATCTTATCGACAGGGTCATAGATCTAGGAGCAGCTCCCCGGTTTGCAGACGCTCCAGTGGGTATAGATCCGACTCCTCGGAGGGCGCCTTCATCCCTTGCTTTGATTGCACCCCCACAGATGGCGAGTCCCACGTGGGTTTCGACCAAGTGGCAGACTGGCTGGCAGACAGATTAAAGGCAATCGCTCCCTCGCCCGGCCTAGAGGTTGATAGCAAGATGGCCATCCATGCGGACCCCACCTCGATCCCTCCTGACCCACTGATCAGAGACATGATCTCAGTTCTGGATGAGGACTTCAGTAAGCTGTCACTGACTCTGTCTTTCAGGACCCCACGTTATAGACGAGATGACTTCCCAGTCCACTCTCTTCAAGTTGCGGAACCATGTACACTCCTTAGATAAGGACATGCACCGCATGACGGGATTGAACCGATCCACCTCAGTCCGAGTTTCCGACAGCAAACTCGCCTACTTGGAAACAGAGATTCGCCACACGCTCAAACCTCTCTCACTGATGGCGTCGTCCTCCAGGGCTATACTGCAAGACTTATTGAGGACAACCCCCATAGGATTGACCATCTAACTACGGTTGTATCCTACCTCTAACAACAAGTGGAACAGATGGCTGTCACTTGCGCGCCGCTCTGATCGAACTCACTACCACTAGAGGCCTTGGGTACCTTGCCTTGTCAAATTGGGACCCAGAGTTCAAGAGAGACCCTTTGCGTCAACCTTGTTCCGGCTCTGACCTTTTCAATGGACAGATATCCAAGACACACTCCCGGGTCTCAGCCTTCGCCTGTGATAAGACAGCTCTCAAGGCCATCGCCAGGGTGTCACAACCAGCATTTGCTAAGGCGTCCCAGTCTGGCCAGTCCTACCAGCCATGACGCAACATCCTCCAGACTCGGGGGCGGGGCTCCACCTCAACCTCTCGGGGCAGAGGCAAGAGGAAAGGAAATTCCTTAGGCGCATACCAGTCCCACCGCGGCCACCCCAAGGGAGGTAACGCCGACCGCAGGGACCTCAAGAGCAATTGCCAAATAGGCACGACTGGAACCTCCCACCCCCAGCCGTCCAAGTTGTCGACATCCCAGTAGGTGGGAGACTGAGTCGCTTCTGGCAGAATTGGGAGATCCTGGGGTACCCATATGTCACCAATATTATCCGACACGGGTACAAGCTGACGCTAATAGACGACCTGCCACTCATGTTGTCCCCCATAGTGGACACATACCCCCCTACTCAACAGCAGCTACTGAGCCGGAACATCACGGCGCTGCTAGACAAGAAAGCCATAGAGGTTGTACACGCCCCAGCCATAACACCTGGTCCCCAAGAAGGACTCGGACAAACACAGGATGATCCACGACCTCGCAACTTTCAACAAACGCTACCTGCCGCGTCCACCTTATTTCAGGATGACCACGCTCAGGCTACTGCGATTCCCGGATCTAGGCACAGGAGGTGCTCATCAGCCTGGATATCGAGGACGCCTATCTACATGTCCATATACACCCCGACGACCGGAAATTCCTCCGCTTCATCTTCATTGGAGTCCATTATCAAAGAGGTAGTCCTCCCATTTGGAATTTCTTTGGCCCCATGGCTATTCACATGGCTTACCAAGCCCTCCATCGTCGGGACATTCAGTTCGAGGCGTACATAGACGACTGCCTATTGAACCATCAGGACACTGTCACTCTACTCCGCCACAGGGACTTCACCCTCCGGCTCCTATACCAGCTGGGGTGGAAGATCAACCTCAGGAAGTTGACACCCTCAAATCGCCTTCATTTCATCGGGGGCCTCTTGCAGACGGACCTCAATCTCCTCTCTCTACCCAGAAACCGGTGGGAGCGCATGCAGGCGTGACTGACTCCAGCTTTCCACCTACCACTCACTCTGCGCCAATGACATCAGCACAGGACTTGACCTACAGAGGAAGGCTCCAACTGCGCCCAGTTCAGATGTTCCTGGCTCCCTACATCAGGCGCCAGGACGCCTCAGTATCCATCGTCCTCCCGGATCACCTCAAACAACATCTCCGATGGTGGACGGTGGAATCGAATGTCTTAGGCGGTCTCCTTGATAGGGCTTATGACCTCTCTGCGCCTATTCGTAGATGTGTCCCTGCAGGGATGGGGCACACACCTGGAGGGACAGGTCTCCTCGGGGCTGTGGTCAGCGCCCATGGCACATCAACAACCTCGAACTGGAGGCACTTATCTTGGCCATCACTCACTGGAAGCAGGCCCTCAGACACGCCCGGCTCTCCATCTTGATGGACAACATCACCGTCGTTTGGTGCCTTCGGAACCAAGGAATGACTCATTCGACCTCGCTCCTTCAACAGACATTCAGATTGTTTCACCTGGTGGATCGTCTGGGGATTCAGTTCAAGGTTCAACACATCCTGGGCTGCCGAAACTTCCAAGCGGATGCGCTATCTCGGCCAGGCAAAGTGGCTCCCACAGAGTGGAAACTTCACCCAGACGCCTTCGCTCTAGTTTGACTGACTCTGTGGTCTAGTGGTAGAGTGTCCGCCCGGAGAGCGGATCGTTCGAGGTTCGATCCCCGTCCGCGTCATACCTGAAGACGTTAATAGATGGTACTTGTTGTTACCCTGTCTGGCGCTCGGCATTAAGGGGCTAAAACCAGGACTGGTCTCGGACTCGGAGTCAGTATACTGTGTCTGAATGGGGTATTCATGTTAGATTGCGGCATGGTATCTCAGTGGGCCCCCCATGCTCCAACAACCCCGCATGAGATCCGGACGGTCGCCCCCACCATGGCGCTACACAGCAACTGCTCTCTACACGCCATCATGGGGGTATGTTTCTGGCAATCCAACACGGCCTTCACCAGTCACTACCTGCGAGACGTCGCATTGAAGGAT